TGGGCCATGAGGAGTGTCCGGAAACAAGGCTGAGTAGGTAGGCTGGGGGCTCACTGGGCAGGGCTGGCCTCTAACCCCCGGGGCAGAGTGGAAGAGAGGATGGAATCAGATCCTGCACTCTGCATCCTTTTGGACCTTGAGCAGCACTTCCTGGCAGCTGCAGGCCATAGCCTCCTGTTGGGGAGGTGAGGAAGGGGCCGTGAGGAAGGGGCCCGTGGGTCAGAGGGAGAGCAAGGCAGAGGATGAGGACAGCTTGCCTGGTTTGCGGGGAGGTCTTGGATTGGGGTAGACTCAGAGCAGGAAGCAGCAGGTTGGGACCCCACGAGAGCAGAGGTGGCAGCCCGTGGAAGATGGTATTTGGCATTGGTTCCACATCCCTGGACAGGGGCCAGGGTCTCGAGGGACATTGCCAGAAGCTTGTAGTGAGGATAGATGGCTTCCGTGCAGTGGCAGTCAGGGATTGGACCCAGAACCTCATCCAGTTAGTGATCCTGTCACCTGTACCCAGGCCTGAGCGAGATGCAGGGAGAGGAAAGCATAAAGTGATTGTCATTGTAATAACCCGTCATCGGGTTATTATTGCCCTAACTCTGTTCAGAGGCATGGTCCTCAGGAACACAGGAGTGCTCTGAGCAGCATTGGGAGAGTTCAGGGAAGAAAGGGGAACACGGATGTAAGTTTGTTGTGGGGACATAGGGAAGGCTGACTGCACTGTGAGGCTTGCCACACCCACGTGTTCCTGAAGTTGTGGGTGTGTATCCGGGGGGCTTGGAGGTGGTGAATGGAGGAACCTGTCAGGACTGATGGGAAGGAGAGTCTCTGGGGAATGGCAGGAAAGTCAGTCCTGTCAAAATCAGGGAATCTGGGAGAGAGGTTTCCTCCCACTCTAAGGGTTGGACAGAGCGGGAGAGTAAGGCAGGAGACACCCTATCAGGAGTCCTAGGGGGATGACTGCAGTGTGGGGTCTTGGCCCAGGCCTCTCCAGCACATCAGAGCCTCAAGCCTCTCCTGAGGGGCAGGCTTCACAGAGGAGGGAAGAGGACTCAGGAGCGCAGCCACAGCACCTGCGGCCTGGGGAGCAGAGAGCAGACTGGGGGCTGGACTCTCCTCGAAACCATTAGAACTTGACTCATTGTGCTCTCCCCCTGACGACTGAGGTCCCAGGTTGACTATGAGGGACAGCAGGGTACAGGGGTGGCTCAGTATCCATAGGTAAGTCAAGCCTCAGGCAGCCAACACCTTCTCCCCGACTTGGCCCAGACAGCTGCTGCACCCCAGCGCCCCATACACCATTCCTCCCCAGGACAGTACCAATGTGCCACTAGCGAGTCATAGCCCACCTGGGTGATATTTCTACCATGTACGAAAACGTGTCCACACCTGGGCCTTCTCCAGTCCTTGCCACAATCCTGTGAGGCCATGAGAGTCAGTAGACATTTTTTAACAAAGAGACCAAGGCTCAAAGAAAACTCTTTATTTTGATGTCGCCTTGGGTCACATGCTCAGTGCTGCCCTAGGGAATGGGCAGTGCAGTATTGGTGGAGTTTCAGGTGTGTTTCAGGCAGTGAGTGTGACCCCCAGGTGCAYTGTGTCCTCTAAACCCCACCGCAGTCCTGCCTTACCCCTGTTCCACGGATAAGGAAAACCAGGCTCAGAGAAGTCAAGCAACGTGTTCAAGTGCACAGTGACAGAAACGGATCTCTCCGACTTCAAATCCAGGGCTCATACCATGGTGCTGGTACAGGTGCCTTAAATGCCTGGGTGGGGAGGTCACCTAAGGCAGACTGACAGCTGCTTTGGAGAAGCTGGAGACAGACTGTGGTCTTGCTTTTTCCTTGGGCCCTGCAGGAAATGCTGGTGTGGCTTGGAAAAGACAAGGAGCCCCTTCCCCAAGCCTCGGGGGAGTAGCTGGGTGTGGTGAGGATAGATGGCTCACTACCTACGGGGGCATCAGTGAACCAGGCTTCCCTTAGTTTGGGTTCAGAGATCACCCTGAGGGGAGAGGTTCAGAGGAAGTGCCTCAGGGAGAGAGAAAGATTAGAAGGAGCAGGTCCCACCAGTCCCAGCAAGGCCCTTTTCGTTCCACTAAGGTTAGAAAACATGTACAGGTTCTGGCCACGGGGCCACATGAAGCAGGTGGAGCCCTGAGCAGATGCCGGTCCAGTGGAGCCCCTGTACCTGCCAGGGAAGTGGGCCAGGTGTGGGGTGGGGCTGTATGCCAGGGAGGGTATTAAATGAGCTTCCAGTTCATTTGCATGTCCTAATTAACCACAAAATGAGCCCCAGAGGCAGAATCAAGCTGTCAGTTTCTCTCTGCTGGCTTTCACCATCTCCTCTCCGTCCACCCCGCCCAGGGTCCCTATGATCTCCAGCATTGCTTAGGCCCTAGGATTAGTCCCATTCATTTCTTCACTTGGCCTCAGCGAAACAACTCTCATCATTGTTGTAGCAGGAGCCCAGAAGGTGACAGAAAAGTAAAAATTATAGGTGGGTTAATGAATCACCATAATCTTTGATTAGCAAAGCATGAAAGTGGGTGGGGCATGACATCAAGACCCAGGCAGAATTCCTCCACCGCACAGTTGGCARGCCATTCATTACATGTGGGGAGGACAGGTTTTGTTCTTGATTTACCTCTGGAACAGTTTGGAGGGTAAGGTAAAAGGCACAAGATTGGAAGTAAATGGGAACTGTTAGAATCCCAGCTCTGCTTTTCTGCTGTGCGATCTTGACGAGTTGTTTAACTTCTCTGAGCCTATCCGTGTGAAATAAGAGTAACAGCACTCCTATCCAGCACATAGTGAAAAGGAAATAGCACAAGGCAAAGGTGYCTGGCACCTGTGGATTATGTTGGGAGCAGATGTCACTTCCTAGTTGCTTTGTTCTGGCCCAAGTTAAAATGAGTCTTCAGTCCTTTGAATCTGTTGTGGTTCATTGATGGTGGAGTTGGCCTCTTCCTTTTCCACTGGATCCCCTGGAGGTCAGCACTGGRCCCTTTTCATGGTGCTATTCTGGGTTCCTAGCTGGCACTGGGTGGAATTCATCAAGTTTTGCTCAGTTGATCTCAACTACTATGACTAGCCCATGAAAACAGAAGAGTCACAGGTGAAGACCCAAGAGGTGGCTTGGTTTCCTATGGAATCAGACCAGACTCAGAGCTGGTGTCATCCTGAATAATTTGCTGGGTGGCCCTCCTTTCAGGAATCAGCAAATCAGTACACATTGTCCCTCCCCCCCATCAACCACCACTACCAAAGGCAGCCACAGCCAACCTCCCTTCACAGAGTAAYGTCAGACTTTATTGGGGAGACAACAGGATGCGTGGGCTCTGCTCCCCAGAAAGTGGGAGCTCTGTTGGCAAACTGCAGATGAAGGTGTAGAGCGGAAAGAACAGGGGTTTGGGAGCCAAATAACCCTCTGGTTCAATTTCTGGTTCTTTTCCTTTGCTAGCAGCCTGATYGGGGCAGTTTGCATGATCTCACTAGGAGCCTCATTGCTGTACCTGGAAGATCATTCTTTCTAGGGTGACTCAAAGCTTGAAAGAGATGTGCACACTGCCTGGTAAACAGCGCAGGCTCAAAACAAGTGCCTCTCTGTCCTGGTATAGCTCACCCCACCAAAACTAACCATCGACCATTTGAATGGCACTTGAGGGTGACCTTAATCACGACTGCAGAGCCCCTGCCCCTCCCTCCATCTCCGCCCCCTGGGGCTGCAGGCTGCTGGCAGTAGAGCCTTTCTTGTTGTTTTTCTTCTCCAATTTGCTCTTAATGCTCTGAGGGTGGAATGCGTCTTGCCTCTAATTGCAGCTGTCACACCCCATCAGGCTGAGCTGTGGGTCCTTGGGGAGAGGGAGAGGGGAACGAGGGCTTTCCCTCCTGGGTGTGCTCAGCCCAGAGAGGGACCCACGTTGTCCTCTGCGGCCAGCAGGCGTTCCTGCCGGGGTGGGAGGGCCAAGGCGCCGTCTCCCACTTACCCCAGCAGCTTTCAGAAAGCCCTGCACCGCGGTCTGGAACCCTCACTCTCCGGTTACCTTCACTCTGGGGTGTGAGCAGGGAGACCCAGGGCCCTGGTGGGCCGGAAGCTAAGGGGCCTCAGGTGGGACTAAGAATTTTTTAAATGAGGGGAAATTTCTCCAGGGCTCGCCCTCGCTTCTCTGGTGAATTTACCTGTTCTGCCCCAAGAGTCCAGCGCAGGAGGCTGGCTGTTGGTGTGGGCGACAGACCGCTGTTAGGGGCCAGTGTGTGAATCCAGATCACAGTGGCCCGGCTGCTCACCTCCCAACGGTGTGTTCTGGGACGGGAGGTAGCCCCCGTGTGGGCTGCCTTCTCCACTGGAAAACGCCTGCCTGCCTGTGAGCACCAGGGACTAGAGAGCTTGATGTCCAAGGGCGTCCACAGTCCACAGTGGCACGTCCCCTCAYTGCTTCCCTGCGCTTAAGGGAAGGCACACCTCATCCGCTGCCCTCCTTCAGCCAGGTATAGGCTGAAATCCATGGAACAGGAATGCTAGCCTGGGGATTTGCCTTCCTCTTCTCTGACCCCCAATCTCTGCCTCCGGCAATGCCAAGCCGGGGAAGCAGACAGATGTAAAGTTGGGGGCACCAAAGACAGGTCTTTACTGGGGGTCTCTGTGGCACCTGCGGCCCCAGTGAGCTTTTCCATGCATAATGTTCCACTGAGGTCTTTGAGAGCAGTGGAGGAGTGTCAGAGGGATTTTCTGGTCTCCTCCCCTGCTCCTCCCCAACTGTCATCTCCAACCCCTGAACTGACCCCCCACACACACACCCACATTCTCTCCAGGAACTCACCTCCTCCACCAGCCAGCCCTGGGACAGCCTCTCCCAGCCGCATTCTGGTCAGCTCTGCCTGAGAACTCTGGCTTCTCCCTCCTTTCTGGGGGACAGGAACTTGGATTTGGGCTTCTGAAGGCCTTACCACCCTCCCGCCCTCCTCCCTAGGGGCCCAACCTTTGAGGTTCAGCCAATTTTTGGTCTCTGGTGTTCAGACCCAAACAGCTGTGTTAATATCAAAACCCGTGGGAGAGGGATCCATGGCCTTGGGGCTACTCGTCGGGGGAGTCTCCCCTTGTCTGGACTCCCCTGTACTCGGGAAGAAGAAACGTCCAGAGCCCTTGGAATGGCTCCGCTTCTTGACCTTCTGAGAACGTCCTGCTCTCGACTCGGAGACCATGGGTGTCACCCAGCCTGGCTTCTCCTTCAGCAGCCGGTCACGGTCGGGCCTCACACTGCGCAAAAACTTCCTAAAGATGTTTGCTGTGAGGGCAAATTTGTGGCCCAGCTCCCGAGGCCGGCCTTTGTCTCCTTTGTGCTCTTCTTCCCTCTCGGGCTCATCCTTCTCCCCGACCTTCTCCAGTTCTGGCAGGTCGAGCCAGTTGCCCACCAGGTCTGCAAACACATTGTCCCCTAACACCAGAGGCTGCCGATTCCTGCCCCGCGACATCAATGTGGAGGTCCAGTCATCTGGTTCCACTTGCTCTGGCCCCTGCTGGGCACAGCTTTGGTGCTTGGGCAGCTGTGTCCTGGGCAAGGGGGCGAGATCCCTAACGCAGATACTCCTATGGTATGGAAATTTGGTGCTGCTGCCGGGAGAAGGTTGGCTGGATGGGGAGCAGGATCCAGGTCTGGCAGGACCCCTGCCACCCTCCCAGTGAAGGTGCTTAGACTGGGTCGGGGGGCTTTCTGGGAAGCCTGGGACAGGATCCCCTCCAGAGATCTCCAATTGTTCCAATGCTGTCTGCACCTGCAGGAGTTTCAGTTCTTGCAGAGCACCCATCATGCAGTTCATCTGATCCTGTAAGCCATCACCCACCTCCTTCATGGACATCTGCAGGGGAGAGGGAAAGCACGGGGCCAGTGAGCATGGGAGAAGGAGGGAGGACTGCCCGGCACGACCCTGAACCAGCCACCCGCCAAACACACTCTCCAGGATCATCCCAGTCTGCCACTGACCCCACCTCTACAGCCTAGAACAGTGCCACGCTGTGCTGAAAGAGGAGGACTTCTAACAGTGCTAAGGCCAGATAAGGGAACCGAGATACATGGCAATGAAAAAACTAAGGGATGCAGTTGTCCTAAAAGCTATACAGATACTCCTCCGCTTATGATGGGGTTATGACCAGATGACCCATTGTAACTTGAAATGCATTAAGACACCTAACCTACCAAACATCACAGCTTAGCCTTGCCTACCTTAAACATATTTAGAACTCTTACATCGGCCCACAGTTGGGAAAAACCATCTAACACAAAGCCTATTTTATAATAAAGTATTGAATATCATGTAATGTGCTAAACACGTAAGTGACAAAGAAAATGATTTTATGGGCACCCTTTCACACTATGGTTAAGTTCAAAAATTGTTAAACCAAGGGCCATCTGTATGTGTGTGCTTATGCATATGAATAGATATGGGTGTGTCCCCGACCTTATATCTCACACACACACACACACACACACATATATAAATTAATTTATTTAATCTCTCCAACTACCCTGTGAGGTAGTGACCATTATTGTTCCCCTCTGACAGGTGAGGAAACYGAGGCACATAAGTAACGTGCCCAAGATTAGATAGTGAGAGATAGAGCTAAGATCACTTTAAGGGTGCACAAAGTTGTGGGAGCCACCCTTGTCCTCTTTTGTGTCTGTGTCCTCTTCTTCCTGGGTGCTGATGGTCACAATATCAATTTGTGAGCATTTACTGTGTAATTGAAATGGCATCATCTCATTTAATCTTACTTACATGAACCCTGTGAGGTTGCTCTTACTGTTCTTGCTTTAGTGAATGAATAAACTGTAGTGCACACAGCTCACAGAGCTGGGACTCAAACCCAGACTCAAACTCCAAACGCTGTAGTCTTGACTACTAAACCCCTGCAGATGGATGGGCAGTGGAGCTGGGCTTTAAGGCTGCTCTGTCCTCTATAGGGCTATGGAGAGGAATTGATAAGGGACATTAAGATAAAGGGTAGACCCAGGTTTCTTGAATTGCTCTTCACATCCAACTGGTCAGGAGAGAGGTTAAGAGGCCAGGAGATTCCTGTTTGCTGGGAACCCTGGCCCAGCTCTCCCTCCCAAACACCTGTCCTATTTCAGCTGCCCTCAGACTTGGCTCAAGTGCTCTTCCTGCCTTCTCAGCCCCATAGGCTCCGCTGCCCTGGCCAAGCCAGAATGGGGATCCTGAGTTAGTTCTTCCAGCTCTTTTGTGGATTCTTAGGCTGCAGTCCCAGGTACCATCTGGACAGGCCAAGAGATTGCCTTGGGTAAGGGCTGCATTTGAAGGTTGTGGGGGAGAGGCTCCAGCTGATAACATTCACAAGATTCCCAGCCCCTGGGCCCAAGCTGCCTGGGTCCTGCCAGCTCCCGCCCCAGATCCTGATCAAGTTACAAACATCAGGCCTCTAGTACGTTGACCATCTGTTTCTGAAGCCCCCCCAGAGACCCAGGGATCATCTTACCTTCCAGTCTTGTCTTAATGCTCAGAGCTAAGCCCAGGGGGAGGGGGCGGGGGTGGAAGGGCAGGCAGAGAGGCTCTGCAGGGCTGGGCTGGGCTGGCAGCTGACCTGAGGCCTCTGGGTAGAAGCTGTTCCTGCCAACCTGGCCTTGCTGGGGAGGGAGGATCCAGCACTAAGGGATAGTGGAGGACTGGCTTCCTCAGAGGTCAAGGAGAGTTTCGCTGGGGTGTGGGAATTGCCCACATTTTGTACACCTTCCTAAAACAGGGCTAGAAATGGTGGTTTGAGGACCCAGGGCCCCCAGGGATTTGCTTGGGCGAGGACATGCCATTTAGACGGCAGCAGCCAGAGACACAGAGCCCATGGTGTGTGCTTGCTATTAGCGGACCTTGCCCTGACCTCTTTGCTTCTACCTTCCTTTCARAGGCACTCAGCTGCATCTGGGAAGAACCAGAGTACAGCAGGAGGAGACGCTAAGCCCCAAACTAAGCATGGTTCTTTCCTGGCAACTGCTTCTCCCTCTGACTTCCCTACCCCTCCCCACTCTCTAACCCATGTTCCTGTCACCCCCGCCTGGAACCTCAGTCATTTTTAGCTTCTCCTTTCAACCACCCTGCTCCTGTCCAACTTAATCATGCACTATTTGAAGTCCTCCTCCCCCAGATGGTTCAAAGCTTCCCTTCTATGCCCTGGAAATCTGCAGAAGCCTTGGAGAAGGCCTCCCAGCCACCAGAGGACCAGGGCCTGGCCAAGTCTTCCTGACCTCCCATCACTGACTTGGTGGCTTATCATGGCCCAAAGACTCAAATCCAATTTGGTCCCACAGCAGGATTTTCAAACTCAGGCAAATCCCTGCCCCTTAAGAATATGCAGCAGGCTCCTGTGAGTGCCTCTTTGTGACCTTAAGAAGCTCTTACCTCAAGACCTGCTACTGAAGCACTGATCCTATGTCCTCCATAAGTTTAAATCCTCAGTTGCTCATGAAATAGTTGTTGAGCATCTATTGCTTGAGGGAAGACTAAGACCTACACATCCTTATGTCACCCTGGAACCTAGCTGGCTCCTGGCACTTGCTGCATACTCACAAACCGTATGTTGAGTACCACTGGCTTCCCCAGATCACCCTCCAAACTGCTTGCATCCTTCAGGCAGTCAACTGCCGCTCAGGGAGAGAGAGCCATTGCCCAAGGTTTCATTTCACCAAGCGGCAAGGAGTCTGAGCTGGCAGGCTTCCTTCCAGAAGGCAAAACACAGTCCAGGTCAGAGGCAGTGGGAGGAATGAAATGACCCCATTCAGTCTCTTCCAGGGTGGAAAAATCCATAAGAAATAATGCTGACATTTTGTGCAGTTTTCCAGTGAAAACGAATGTGTGGGTATGTGGGTATGCATGAATTCAGAGCTGCCCATAAAACAGAGGCTCCATTTAAGTAAACAAGGGCTGAAATTGTGCCTGTATGGAAAATAATATTCTCTATTAGTTAAGATCTTGGGGGCTGGGGATGTGGCTCAAGAGGTAGCGCGCTCGCCTGGCATACGAGCGGCCCGGGTTCGATCCTCAGCACCACATACCAACAAAGATGTTGTGTCCACCAATAACTAATAAATAAATAAATATTTAAAAAAAAAATATCTTGGGTTCTGGAGACCAAAGGAACAGGGTTCAAATCCTAGCTCTGACACATAGTAGCTGTGTCGTTTGGGCAGGTTATTAAAATTCTGTTTTCAGTTTCTCCATCTTTAAAATGGGAGGGCTGGGGTTGTGGCTCAGAGGTAGAGCGCCTGCCTACCATGCATAAGGCACTGGGTTCGATCCTCAGCACTGCATGGAAATAAAAAATAAAGATATTGTTATAACGAAAAATAAATATTTTTTTAAAATGGGAAGAAATTCCTGCCTTGTACAGCTATTGTGCAAATTCAATGAAGTCATGGGTATCTCTGCATGACACACATAAAGCATCAGAGGAACAATSGCTGTTAAGACTTCCTGTACTTGCAGAACACTTCTTCCTCAGTGAAACCCAACACAAGGTAATGGGAGGATTCCATCCATCATATCTGGTCTCATTAAGTGGAAACAAATCTCTTGTCCTGTCCCTTCCCCTCCCAGCCCTGCCCCACGCGGGGGGGGGGGGTGAGGAAGGGAAGGAAAGGGAAGCCTCAGCATCCTCCTGCCCACTCTCATGCTGACCTCAGTGAGCCGGGCCACAGGCGGGGTGCAGCACTGACCGTCAAGAAGGCAGCTGTGAGAGGGATGAGAACAGAAGGAGGAAGTGAGTGTGGGAAACAGGGAGGCCAGGGCAGTGGGAGCAGGAGCATCTGCTGGGTCTTGACCACGAGGGGAGCCAGCAGAACAGCCTTTCCCACCAACCCCAAGGGGATGATGTCACCCACAGAGGAAGAGCCAGAGGCCAAGCTGCTCTCTTCACCCAGAGCGTGGGACCTTCTTGGGTCCCAGGGCTTCTCTTGCCTCAGGATGGAAGAGGGAGAAAAGGCAGCATGTGGTGTGGGGAATGAAGGAGTGGAGCCAGCTCCGGGGACCCAGGAATGAATAGGCTAGAGGCTGCTGAGTTCCTCTCTGACCTCCTAGTCTCAGTGCCTTCTATTGTTCCTCAGGACAGGGACCAGATCATACCAACGTGCTCTCAGTGGTCAGCTGGAGAAGTCTGATTGGTCCTGATTAGTTTGAATGGAAAGTGATCTAACGCCACTTCTCTTAGTCTCATCCCTAGACACAGAGATAGAGAGAGAGAGAGAGAGAGAGAGAGAGAGAGAGAGAGAGAGAGAGAGAGAGAAAGACAGACAGAGCACTATCCACCATCAGATGCAAAGCCCTTAATAAGCAGATCCCAGTGAAAATCATGGGAATCCCTTCTGAAAAATGCCCTAAAAGGTGGTCTCACCCCCACCCTTGCCTCTGCATCAGTCCTCACCATTTCCCACCCCCAAATCTTCTGGGACTCAGTTTCGTCCTAAACATTTTCTGCCCATCAAACTTTCGTCTCTCTGGGAGTGGTTGACACCAGCCCCTGGCAGGCTCTGTGTTAGAGCTGCATGGCTGCTGCCCCGTCCTGGTTTGGTGAGAGCCCCCACTGCAGTCTGGTGGGTGATCTGTCCCTAGCTGACCACCTTCTTTGGGCAAATTCACCAAGCTTTTGTGTTTCAGTCCTGAATCTGTGAATGATAACCCCTCCCATGTATATGGCACAGGCCCTTTTTCTCTGTATTGCCTGAGCTCCTTTGGCCGGGAGGCTGGCTAGGCAGGTGGAGGTCGCCTCCCCCCTGGATGGATGAGGAAACTAGGGAGTCTCTCAGATCATCTCCCTCAGTGTTGCCCCAATATTCTTGGCCAGGCCCTCTTCATTATTT